TGGGTCTTTCTCTACCACCCAGGCTAGAGTGCAGTGGTGCAATCTTGGCTCATTGCAACCTCCGCTCCCCAGGTTCAAGCAATTCTTCTGCCTCAGCCTCCTGAGTAGCTGGGATTATAGGCGCCTACCACCACACCTGGCTAAATTTTTTTGTAATTTTAGTAGAGACGGAGTTTCACCATCTTAGCCAGGCTGGTCTCGAACTCCCGACCTCATGATCTACCCGTCTCAGCCTCCCAAAGTGCTGGGATTACAGGCGTGAGCCACCATGCCTAGCCAAACCAGTTTATTTCTGAAATAGCCTTATTTCCAGTCTAGGAACATTTGCTATTAGGATTTTCCCTGAAAACATTTCAAAGGTAACCCTGAATTTTAAAGGCAGTCACTCCTTTTTAAAAGTGATCACTGAATGAGTCTTCCGTAAGAATATATAAAATATTTTTGGCATCCATATGGGCATAGGCAAATACCCTATGAGCATGTGCCATACTGCTTATATCACATTTACTAGACCTTTAATATTTTACTGATGGTATTTCAGGAAGTGATAATAGATAGTTCTCCACAATTTATAAAGACGGCTAATGGCCAGACATGGTGGTTCACGCCTGTAATCCCAGCACTTGGTGAGGCTGAGGTGGGAGGATCACTTAAGAGGAGGAGTTAAAGACCAGCCTGAGCAACATAGCAAGACTGCATATCTACTAAAAATGTAAAACTTAGCCAAGCACACTGGCACATGCCTATAAGTCTCAGCTACCTGAGAGGCTGAGGCAGAAGGACAGCTTGAGCCCTGTAGTCCAAGGTTGCAGCAAACTATGGTCACACGCCAGTATGCTACACTCCAGCCTGGGCAACAGAGTGTGACAGTGAGAAAAGAAAAGAAGAGAAAAATGAAAGGGAAGGAAGAAAGGAAAGAAAAGAAAGAAAGAGGAGGGGAGGGGAGGGGAAGAAAGAGAGAGGGAGGGAGGGAGGAATGAGAGACAGAGAGAGAGAGAAAGAAAGAAAAGAAAGAGACAGGCAGGTTGGTAACAACCGGCCAACATATGGGGCACTTTGACATCTAAGTGTTGTCTTCCTTTCTAAAAACACACAATCGACCAGGAACTCTTCAAGAAAAAAAATTTTGAGTAGAAAGAAGGGCATTCCCTTGTTAAGGGTAAATTTAATATGAATAACAGATGAAAAGAGAGGAAGGAGGAATGAATAAAGAGAAAGGAAGACAAACGCAAATAGGAAGACAAGCCCCAGACTTGTGGAAACTCCAGCATCAGACACCTGCTCATACAGATGTGGCTTTGCTCACTCAAGGCTGGAATGAAAGGGAAAGAGAGGATGAGAGACTTCTTGTGCTGAGAACTATTTCTTCAGAGTGTTCCAGGGTTTCCTGGAACGTTCCAGAGTGTTCCAGATGATCCCATAGGCCATGGTAAAGAGCCATAGGTCCACATGCACACACTTCTCAAGCACCTGGGAGGCTGACACTTATACTCTAGACTTGATTTTTACATATTGTGGAAGAATAATTAACAGGCAATATAAATATTAAGTATAAAACTATACCCCTACCCTCCTTGCTAAGGTTAAACTCTGGATCCAAGAAAAATCTGCACAAAGTGAAAAGCAAACACCTCCTTTATTAAATCTCAACAGATATCCAACCCATTTGCAATGGAAAAAATGCAGATGGACAAGACAGAAAAGAGTATTTACTACAAATGAGGCATTTTTGGTGCTATGATAGATGTGATAAAAATCTTTAGAGCTGCCTTTTTTTCCCTATATCCATAAGGAAACGTAATTTTTTTTTTTTTAGATGGAATTTCACTCTTGTTGCCCATGCTGGAGTGCAATGGTGCGATCTTGGCTCACTGCAACCTCTGCCACCCAGGTTCAAGTGATTCTCCTGCCTCAGCCTCCCGAGCAGCTGGGATTACAGGCATGAGCCACCACCTATAGCCTGGAAATGTAAACTCAATAGTCTTTCCTTTTTTTTTTTTTTTTTTTTTTTGCAACAGAGTCTTGCTACATTGCCCAGGCTGGCTGGCCTCGAGCTCCTGAGCTTAAGCGACCCTCCTAGCTGAGCTCCCTGAGTAGCTAGGACTACAGGCACACACCAAGGCACCCAGCTAAATTTAATAGTCTTAATTCTAACCTCCATTACTTCTTCCTTGGAAACTGTGTCTTTTGCTACAACGTTTAATTTGCTAAAGGTCAATCAGGATGTTTCCTGACAGCTGAAGACAACCGGTAATTTAGAGACACAACCCCTAAAAGGGTTGGGTTTATTTCCTTGATTTTCTATTGTTAAAAAAAGAAATAGCCCTTACTATGACAGGGAAATGAAAAATAATTTACTTTTCAACTAATAAAGGAATGCAACATACTTTAAATAGGCAAAATATTTGAGAATTTATATGTTATTAAGGCATATATACATGCACATACACACACACTCACCCCTTAAAAGCTCATGATTTTTTACCAATGGCTACGCAAAAGACTAAAATATTTGTAATGCACAGTTTGGAAAAAACTATATTGCCATATAGTTTTTAAGTAGCCCATAGTGAAAAACAACATAACCATTTTTTTATTATTTAATTTTATTTTCGGTCCTGGGATACATGTGCAGGACATGCAGGTTTGTTATGTAGGTTAACATGTGGCGTGGTGGTTTGCTGCACCTGTCAACCCATCACCCAGGTATTATGCCCTGCTTGCATTAGCTACTTATGCTGATGCTCTCCCTCCCCTCACCTTCCTAACAGGACCCAGAGTGCCTTGTTCTCCCTCTGTGTCCATGTGTTCTCATTGTTCATCTCTCACTTATAGGTGAGAACATGGTGTGTTTGATTTTCTGTTCCTGTGTTAGTCTGCTGAGGATAATGGCTTCCAGCTCCATTCATGTCCCTGCAAAGAACATGACATCATTCCTTTTTGTGGCTGCATAGTACTCCATAGTGTATATGTACCACATTTTCCTTATACAGTCTATCACTGATGGGCAATTGGGTTGATTCCATGTCTTTACTATTATGACTAGTGCTGCAATGAACATATGTGTGAATCTATCTTTATAAAAGAATGATTTATATTCCTCTGGGTATACATCCAGTAATGGGATTCCTGGATCAAAGGGTATTCCTGGTTCTAGGTCTAGGAATCACCACACTGTCTTCCACAATGGAACATAAACATTTTAACAACCTGTATGGCCACTATACTTAATTCCACTCTGCAAATGTATGATGCTAGTTAAGTACCAGAAGAAACCCGAAGCCAAAAAACCAGCACCCAAATTTATCGTAATAAGGAGTACAACTAGTATTTGTTACACTGGATTAGTAAAATGCACAGGTCATTTTCATTTTTTTTTTCAGCATACTCTTAAAGGTGACCTTTAATTATTAGAAAGTATTTCTTGAGTTATGCTGGTACGTGACTAGGGTTTCCTTTTTCCCATGAATGATGATCATATAAAAAGGTTAGTTGATAAATAGCATGTAAGTAGATTCAGGAGTTTTCCAAAATTCAGTTTGTAAATGTTATTACCTTGGCCAGTTCTTTTTCATCATAAATTGGAATATAATGAAAATAGCATAAAAATTAAGGATATTATTGTATAAACACACACACACAGGCACAGTGTTCATGCCTGTAATCTCAGCTCCCTCCGAAGCTAAAGTGGGAGGATCATTAGAAGCCAGGAGTTTGAGACCAGCCTGGGCAACATAACAAGACCTCATCTCTACAAAAATGAAAAAAAAAAAAAAAATAGCCAGGTGTGGTGCTGTGTGCCTGTAGTCCTAGCTACTTGGGAGGCTGAGACTGGAAAAGCACTTGAGCTTAGGAGTCCAGCCTGGTGACAGAGTGAGACTGTGTCTCTAAAAGTATATAAATAACAATAGTAATACAAAGAAAAGGATCCAATAATGGGCTAGAGCAGTAACAACGATCACACCTCTTTCTACATGGATTTCTGCCCCACATCACAGGCCAGCTAGTCCCATGTGGCACGCAAAGTCAGTGGTAACAAAGGTCATAATACTAGTGACTGGGAAGAGTCCTGGGATTTTTTTTTAACTCTTCTAATTGACATAGCCAGTCAAAAATGTAAACACATCCTTACACATGATACCCAGTACCAGAAAAAG